CTAAGTTTTGCATGTCGAACATAATTGTTGTATGCCAACATGTTATCGGAGCTTCGTTTCTGCTGAGAACCCTGGATTCCTTTGAATTGATCAGCAATATTGAATCATAAAGTTTGAAACATTCAGCTCAAGTATTAACTTGTTTATCAATGTAAACGTCAAAAAGCATGAACATGATTTTATTTGGCTGTCAGAACGAGATGTTGACTCAGTTCTTATCGGTTTCCTCATGCCGGATATATTGCATAAAACGTCCCGAAAAACAATGATATGGAAAATATTGAATGGACAAGTTAGATCGGACAGAACTTTAATGGATTAGTTTTATATGGCTTTTGCAGGCATGGTACTTTGAATAGAACATATCTCTTTCTGCTTGTGTGGATAGCTATAGTGTTTTGCAAATTTTGAGTATTTATTCCATATCTCAGCAATAGGACTTTACAAGCTATCCTAAAAGCAGGAAACTTCCACGGATCACTTTGTTACAGCGTCAACAAATGGTGTGAGAGATCCTTTTGAAAGTAGTTGTACGAATAAGAAATTTCTGTAACTCCTTTGAGAAAAAAATTGGGCCATTATGCTGACTGGTGGAGCATAATGGCTTAGTTTAGATTTAAGTACCGTAACTGTGTATATTTTTTTTTCTCAGAAATTAGGAAGTGAAAAATAATCACGAAAATCTTAAAAGCATGAAAAATGGATATATATAAACAAGCCAAAAGCTTTTTAAAATGATTGCACGGACAGAATCACCTGAACGGCTGTTAGTCTTTAGATAGTCCGGCATTTTTGTCAGTATCGTTATTAATGTAGGCTTTTTAAGATGGGAATTATCTCTGTAAAGAATCACGAGAAAACAAGCGTTACCGATCACCAGGATCACGCAAGTTGGCCGATATCATCGGTGTAGACACAGGTGGACCAGGAAGTCGACGCCTTGGCGAATGTGGTCATACTCCTGAAGAATATACGAAGTTCAAGGTTGTATTCGATGGCGGTGTGCATATTTTGAATTTACATGAAAAAATGAAGATTTGGACATAACTCTCATAAGTTTTTTCATTAATCTGATTTTTTCAGGATCTTGTGGAACGAATGTTGACGTTTGATCCGCGGGAACGTATTGGACCATACGCTGCAGTTAGGCATCCTTTTTTCTCACGTAGAAGTGATGAGTGTGTGACTGTGGGTTCTGCTATCGCTTCGCATTCCAGAACCTTGCAGCAACCAGTTACAGTATCCAATGTTCAGGTCAGTACGTCACATACAGTAAGTTATATTATTATATACAAAAGAAAGCTCTTAATTTCTTCAAAAAAACACTTAATTTCTTCGAAAAAGTGCTTATTCTTTTTTTGTCTTCTTTTTAACACTTTCAGGTTGCCCAACCTCATTTTTTTGAGGAACACTCAGTCAGTCAGATGGATTGCGCGGATTCTATAGCTCATTCACAACGTATACATTTGTCTCAACTTAACCAGGTACTTTATGGATTTATGGATGCAAATCCTAGCGATGTCAACTATTTTTCTTTTTTGTTTTTTCTGCAGTTTTGAATGTTTAATATTCCGTGTCATGTTTTCTAAAGTTCTTTTTTTTTTCTTTTTAAGACTGTAACCACAAATAATGCAATCAGTACCAGAACCAAATAAAAAAGGTAGAACTCAAGAGCTATTTCTTCATTGCTGTTGTCCTATTTTGCTGCAGTTTCAGGTTCTTGGTCAACCGGGCAATTACCAACAACAAACAGGATCAACAAATCAGAATTTATTTCAGTAAGTATTAATAACTTGAATTTGGTTCTTGCATTCTTTCAATTAATTTTCTTACAGAATTGCTCAACCTTTCGGTTTGTTACCTCAACAAATGCAACAGGGACCGAATCAAAATCAACAACAGCATCAGCAAAGCAATTCGAATATTTCTAGCACACAACATCAGTTGCAAGCTCCTCCACGTTTTGTATCTAGCTTGCAGAATTCAATTTGGACATCCCCGGAACAGGGTGACGATACGCGATATGACCATCATTCTCAGCCGTCATCAAATCTTCAACCATGTCAAAGGGTTAGGGCTCATGTTACAAATATGGCTGCCTGTTGTATTCTTAGAAAAGGAAATATATTCATTACGTTCATTCTTTAAATCTTTTCGAATGTAATTGCTGAGTTTTTCCCAGTTCAGATGTTAAATATGACCTTTTTCCATACATTTCCATACGTAACTTGCATTTCAGAATTCACTTTTGCCACAAAGTCGCAATCTAAGCTTTGATGGCACAGTAGGGAATGGTCAGGTATCACATCAGCGTCCTATACAGTCTTCAACAAACGGTGCTAGAACAAATCCGATATCGGTTCTGTTTCCTAACAACTTTATGCCACAAGCCCAGCAACAACAACAAACAGCCCAAACTGGTTTATCATCAAATTCAGCAAATGCCGATTTCTCATAATTGTTTTATTTGCTCCTTTTATATTTCCTTCTACTTCTGTTTTATTTTTGTTGTATATTTGTACCGTTTCAGTGCTTTCAAAAATTTTTATTTGTTTCAAAACATTTGTACTAGTTTTTTTCTGTGTAAGTAAATGCAAGCTTGTGACCATTTTATTTTATGTTTTCTTATTTTTTTGTAATATCTCTTCGCAATGTTTCATAATATCTTCGTACTTTTTATAACATTTTGCTTCTACATTTCTTATAACTAAATTTCAAAGTGTTCGATTTATTCATGTTATGCTGTATTGAGTACCATATGTTTCTGTTTACAGAATTTCTCTTGTAGTTTTCTTGTACTTATTCTTTCATGTTAGCATGTTATCCGCCATTTTTCTTATCGTCTTATCTATGTGTTATTTGAAATCGTGTATGGAGTTATCCATTTGCTAACCAACTTTTTTATGATTTATTGTATATGCATATCGATTTGTGTTGCTCTTTTGATTAATATGTTTGTGTGCATTTTTTCGAAATCGCTAATTTTAGTTTGTACTTAGTCCAGTGTTTTCTTTTTTTTTGAGGGGATGAAATATACTTCAAATTATAAAGTTAGTATACTGTAAATTTTCGTTTAACTGTTACGGGCAAGATAAGATTATCCTTGTGTCGGTTTGCTTTTTGTATCATTTTTTTTTTATTTTTATTTCTGAAACTCTGTTGTATATACCATTTTATCTATTCCATCTCTCCTTAAGTTGCAATGCTGTGCTGACTTTTCGTTTTTATGAATTTTTTTTTCTAATTTCAATTCTGTTTTCCTTTTAACAGCAACAGCAAATTTTATATTTTCGTTTAGTGAATGAGTAGACTTAGGATATATATATATATATATATATATATATAGAGAGAGAGAGAGAGAGAGAGGGAGAGAGAGCGGTGTTTGATGCTATGCATGTGGTATTGATTGATACAACATAGTATGTGGTGAAATTTACTGATTGAAAATTCTCTCCGTTCTTGAAGGTAACACTTCCAGAGAAATTAAAAAATTTTCGCTGTGCCAAATTCCTTGAAACAACAAGAAGAACCAGTTATAAGTGAAATAATGATCAATTGTTATGATGAGTTACATTTATTGATATGTTGTTACGCTGATCGATTGTATTTTTAGGTGCTTAACTGCTAGCCGTATTTTTTTTTTCTTAGTAATTATTCACTTGCATATTCGGCTATGGATAACTTTGCGTAGTTTTTCTCTATGTTTCAAGTCATTCTTCCTGATCTTCCGCCATTGTTTTTTCTTAAAACACCTGCCGTTTAGATGGTCAAAAGAATCATTTATTGGCTTCTCGTATTTCATCCTGCATTTTTATGCAGTGTCCATCGTGAAACTGCTTCCTAATTTAGTAGATGGTCATTTTCTTCATCGTAATTAGTAGAATGAGATTTCCTAGGAATTGACTCCGGTATGACATATCTTATAAGCAGTTTCATAATTGGTTTACATTATTTTTTTATGAATTATTATTAATTAGCTCACATTATTACAATATTGTCATTTTCAGAATGGGAACACGCGTAATCTTTATAGAAAACTTGAATAAAGTATGCGAAAATTAAAATGCTTTTTCCATGTTCTCAGACTTTAGTCATATGACTACCTCTTTGATTTCAAATTGGTTGAGGTTTTCAGTGTGCTTTCACGTTATTCAGCAAAGTTTTTGGCTATGAAATGTTACACTTGATGTTTTTTTTTTTTTTTTTTCGCATACGACTGTATCAACAAATTGAAGAGAAAGCGGTTTTTCTTGTCAGTTTTCGGTTCCGTGTGTTAAATGAGCAGAAATTGGCGGTACAGTTAAATGGGAAAAGCTTGTAAGATATGCCATCTACAGATCATTTAGATTTACTGACAGTTGGCGTCATTGAAGTTTTCTGGAATGATAGTTTTTTACAATATTTGACAGTGATTCTTCATTGTACACAGTCGAATGACATTATGTGGGGATTGATTCTCATTGATACATTTTTTTTTTTTTTCGCAGTGTTATTCAAAAAAAGTGTATTTGTTTTCTTTGCACTTTATTTTGATATTTTCAGTTAAATTCTGCTGGGTACTGATTTAAAAAAAGGAAGGAAAAGATATTTGTTTAATGTTTGACTGAATCGGGATGTATTGATGTTAATTAAGTTACGGATGAGAAATTAGTATGGATATAAAAAACTATGACAGTATTAGTTATGATTGCAAAGTCGTGGCATATTGAAATTCGCATGAATTTCTTCGCTTGTGTTTTTTTTTTTTTTTTTTTACTGCATTAAAAGAAAGCAAAATTTATTGATAATGTAAGTAACGGAACTTATGAATAATGGGTGATCCGAATTACAATTATTTTCACAACTGCGACATGAAGTTTTATATCTAGAAATTCGGCCATCTTCTGAAATCATTTGCATTCTTTCTATACCAATTTTATAATCATATAAAAATTGATTCCTTCCTTTGAGATTCTTCTACTTTCTACCTTTGGCCACTGTTAATCATAAAATCATTTGAACTAACATTTTCTTTTGCGTGGCACCAAGTGTGACCTCCTAGGCGTTATACCCGCTCGAAAGAATACTCTTGCTAATTCACCGTTTCTTTCTTTTTGTTCAATTGTATTATAATCACCAATAAACTTTCCATTAACATATAGTTGTGGTACCGTTCGAATACCACCGGTTCTGCGTTTGAGATAATCCTTCAAAAAGAATGCAATTTCAGAAACTAGCCAGTTTCAAACCTGCAGCAGATAGATTAGTTTAAAAGATATATTTTAGTGTCTTAACACATAATCAAGTAGTTAGATTAGAATTAAGTTGGAACATTTGTTCTGGGTGATTGAATTTTATTTTACATTGCAGTAAACGTGTATAAAGTATCAGTTCAAAACATTTACGTTTATTTTAAGTAAATTTCCGTAATAAAGAAGAGAGTCGAAAAGGCAGGATATAAAAAGCAATTCTGCAAGTATATCAAGAAGTATTTCAATTAGTAAACGACGTAAGAGAAAGTTTTAGTGATTAACTTTATGATTATTATATTTATGTTTGAAGTTTCCTTTCTTTTTAATAGTTTCATATTTATGTCATGATTCCGCCTATAAACAAATAGTGGAAGTTTAGCAAATTTAGCAAAATTTGGTGTCCAATTTGTGGATTTCGCAGTTTTGAAATTGTCAGAATTTTAAAACTTTGCGTCTGTTTAAAATTATATTATATATAATACTGTATTTTTTTAGTGTGTTGCCGATACAACTAGCAAGCAGAATGAAGTAATGATCAAACGGAATGTAATGTTGTTGGAAATATAACATCGAGTCATTGTGACAAAGTTGCTTGTTTGTCTTGGATTCGACTTGAGCTTTTCCATGAAATGAAGAATTTCGATATAATTTCAATTTGATATACAGTAAATGCAGAAATTAATGCTTATGTCAAGAAATACTAGGAAAATGATAATTACTTTGAGGAAACTGTAGCTTTTGTATGATATTCAAATAAACCAACTGCGCAAGCGTATTCTATTAGTTATTACTTTATTTTTTAATTTTTTTATTTGACAACCAATGAATGTTGTCAAATACTTTTGTGACTTCAAATTTAATTCATAAAGCAACATACCTCCGATTAAAATGTGTTTAGTAACAGCTAACCATCATAATATAATGCTTAAAAGGGGCAAATTTTCAGAAAATTCTTCTTTGACTCAATTTTTTTTTTTTTGATTAGAGGTTTTTTCAAAAACTAATTTTTGATGAAATGAAATGTTTATTTTATTCTTCCTGTGATGGCATGCACCTCCTCTTCAAGATGAAATGAAGCAGTAAGGTGAAAAAGGGGAAAACAATATGTACAAAGAACTTTATAGGAAAGATTACTTAATATGGGATGATCTTCACTACTTGATCAGCGAATCAATTTTTTTATCCAAAGTGAACATGGTAAGTAGACGAAATAAGAAAGTTATTTGCTTTTAGAAAACTAAGGTTAGCATAAATAAATTGGCATACATTGTTTTTAATTAAATTGGGATTCTCTTACCAGATGTGCAGGAAAACACCATTGATAACAGCGATTTAGATCATTTGATGCGTATTTGTTGTAAAAAATAATTTTTTTAGATATGTAAAAGCTAATGCAACAATGTTTTCGTTTTTTTTTTTTTTGAAGTATAGAACTTACCTGCATCAACTGCATATCGGGTTCAAGATTAAGCTCCATAATTCTTTTGTCCCTGATATTGTATTTTCCTATTAAATGCTTCAGCTTAATGCTATATTGGCAGTAAGTTTTCGAAAAAAGAACCACTTGATGATTTTGTATCATTTTCTCCAAATACCATTCCACATTGTAACGGTTATTTCCACTGATCTGATCAAATTGCAACTAAAACCGACCCGAAATTATTGATTTATCGGATGTGATCCAGTTTCTATTTATTGGCATAAAGAATTATGGAATGAAATCAAAACTTTGTTCAATATTTACGACAGGTAATTATTAACTAATAATTGAAAACTGAAGCAATCAAAGAATTTAGGCTATAATTTAAAAAAAAAAAGACTCTATTCTCATTTTTGCTTAATTACAACATTAAGATTATCAGCTTTGCGATAATAAAATAATCCTGGAGTGCTGGAATAAGAAATTCTAGTTTTTAGCTGTGATTACTTTACGATTTTTCAGTAAATTGGCGATATTTTTTATTTGAAGCTTCAAAATAAGAGTTTTTCGGTTTTAAAAATTCACCTCGAATTCTTACTGCTGATATTACTCGTTCAAATTCTAGTCTTTTATTTAATTTCTAACTTTTCAGTAAATAGTAAATTTGCAACTTTTTAATAACAATTTTATGAATATGTGAAATTATTACCAGCATCAGGAAGGTTGATAGGAAAAATTGTAAATGCATCATCATTAGAAGGACGATATATATGTAACAATACAAGGGCAAATACAAAATTAAGATGAAATCGAATAATGTTTCACTATAAGAATATGCAATGCTCAACCAGCTGATCCATTTAACGAAATTCTGTCACTTATCAGAAGTTTCATTTGCTGTCGTATTCGACTTTGGTGATGTAGGCCTGATACTACACCTGCAGTTAATGATGATACAGTGATCCTCATGATATTATATTTTATTCTTGAATGAATGAAGCATTTTAACATTCTTTTAAGACATTATTAGATTTATTAATTTAGGAAGTACGTAACTAAAGAATGAATAACTTGGGCAACAAAAAAAACTAAAGAATTATTGTGTAGAATAACATAATAATAAGGGGGTTGTAAATGATACATTGTTTGCAGCATGCAAATGGCATAGAAACGGAATTCAATGCAGTAACACTATCATTGCTTATTACTGTGTCGATGTAAATGTTTAATCTATTGAAATAGTATTCGGACATTTCATAAATTAGTGTGGAACAATTTCAAAGACGAGTTGGGCGTGTGATGCATTTGCTTGCTGGGGAAAGGAAGTGAAATCATTGTTGGTATTAATTAGAAAGGTAACGTTAACGGATACTGCAATGGCATCATCATGCAAGAATCGCGCAAATGCGTACAATTAGAAAAAAAAGGAAAAACAGAGAAACATCGATAGACACAGGACAGAGCAACTTTAACTGCAAACGGCAGACGACGACAATGGTTGCAAAGTTTGCAGAAGGAAGAATGATAGGAAATCACTCGAGATAAAATTTTTTAGAATTTTGCAGTCCATCGCTGTCCGTCTCCTATTTCTTTCCACTCGATCACTAACATTCAATGTTAGTAACTTTCATTGGCCAATTTTCCAAATCATTACCATTTAGAACTTTATGCTTCAGTTTCATCTATGAGATTCTATGCTTCTTTACATATTTCAGTTGCCCAATGTCTTTGAACTGGTTATTTTAATTGTAATTTTCTTCAAAAAAAGAGAAAAGTTCATTCGTTAATTGTTTTATTCGATATTACTAGGTAATAAATAAGGAAGCAAAAGTTAATGAGACAGGGAGAAGTTTTTGATTTCATTAGAAAAAATGATGCAATAAAATGAATAGAATTTCTCAAGTGTTACTGCGAAAATAAGTAGTATAAACAAATTAAAAATAGAACACACACAGGAAAAAGTTTTTAAGGCTTACTTTTTTTGAAGACTACAGAAGGAAAAAGTTTGGAAATTCAGGAAGTTAACAAGAAGTACTTTTCTGTGCTTTTTATTCCTTCAAATTTCTTTCTTTTTAAATTAACTGTGCATTTCAACAGTTCTTGGCATGTGAACTTTTACACTTGCCGGAAATTAAAAATTAAAAACATCTGAAAGTATTGTCAAAGATAGAAATGTCAACGCTTGACATTTTCTTTTGGTCGTCTGGGTATTTCCTATTGGTATTCTGACATTAACAGAACGAATCTATTTAACAATTATTGTTGAAATATTCTAGCCTATCATTTTAAATTAAAAACGTAAGTGTTAACGAAAATAATAAGCTCAGAATTCTATACAATATGCAAATTAAGTCTCCAACGGTATTTTGATTTGCTAATCATATGTAGTGAATAAAATGTGAAATCATCTTGTTCGCGGTGCAAATATTATAGGGGCTAATTGGAACTCTCTGGGGCTACAATTACTGTGAGGACAATTCTAAATAGTTTCGCATGACAAAGTGTAAATCTAAATGAAGCATTTTCAACAAGAATTGATCTGAAAAAAATTAAGAAAAAAGTGGAAGAAACGAAGAAAAAACCAAAAATTAACATTAAAAGTTCAACTAAAAAACTTTTCTTTGGGTGGATTTTAAAAAAGTGATGAAATGGTATTTTTAAATGAAGGTTAAAATGTAAAATAAAATTCTTCTATAACTTTTCAAATATGACAGAGGAAGCTCTGGTTGTAATACAGATCAATCATTGTGTTACCAAATAATTTTTCTCAAGCAGATCGTAGTTTTTTCTCTAATTTTATATAGGCGAAAAATTTTATACGAAGTCCTTTTATTGAAAAAGAATAAAACATTTATTTAGCGGGCTAAGCTATTTCTGTACAACTAAATTCTCCATTATCTATCATAACATATCCATTTAAAATTAATTTTGACAAAAAATGATTGTGGATAAAATGAAACAAAGAACGAAGAGCAGTAAATTAAATTGTCGTAAAATGGAAAAGAGTAACCATTTTCTGATGAGCTAAAATAAAATTTTTGTAGTTTGTGTTAAACATTACATAGTCGTCTTATCGGAAACGTTTAAATACAATATTAATTTTTGCAACAGCTTGTTTTTCTGATCTATTCGCTGATCTATTAAAATTTTAATTCAAATTAACGCGAAATATTTTTTGTTTGCATCTAATATGAAAATGATGAGTAAATGTAAAGAAACAACACATTGATATTGAGATTCTGGGCTACTCGTGATGGCCTAATAAAATGAAATTATAGATCAATCAAAATTAAAGAGCTGATAATAATATCTACAATAATTGAACAGTTCAATTGCTATAAATATTCATCCAATGCAGTTTAAAAGCTTAAAACTACTATTGTCGTTTATTCCTAATAATCATACTTTAGATAGTTTTTTCTCATTTTACTAAAGAGATTACATTTCTTTTACTGCTAAATTTTTCAAAAAAAAAAAAAAAAAAAAATTTAATAAGCTTTTATCCCACTGTATCGCCTAAGCTAAATAGTGGAAACATTTAAATTGTCTGATGATTTTTTCAAAAGGTACTTTTAATGCATCATATTACATTGTCAGAAAAGTCTTTAAAATCTATTAAATCAAGCAGGCTTGTTGAAATCATTTATATATTTCGTCGCTGCCAGTCGTGGTTCATCCATGAATCGCCTTGACAATTTACTTTTACATTATTATCATTTTGTTATGCAGTTACTTCTCATTTTTCACCAAATTTTTTTGGAAAAAGACGAAATTGTTTTTCTTTTTTTTTCATTAGTAGCTATAAAATAATTCCAATATGCTTATTAAAATTTTAGCATATTTTTTCTCAAAATATTGATTGATGAAAGAGAAATAGTAAAACTGCGACATGATTCATAATGAAATTAAATTCAATAATAACAACTGGTGACAGGAAAGTTATGCTCGCGATACTACCTTCATCTTTTGAAATTTCTTCAAAATCCAAGTTTTGAATTTTGATTAAATTAAATCATAAATTTTAGCTTTGTTGCATTGTCAACTAACAATTCATTAAAGCATGATTAGAGAGAGGATCTTTACAGTCAGACTTAACAAGAATGTGAAAAAGTTAATTTCGTCAAGAAACATGGTAAAATGATTTACAAAACAAAAGTTTTGCTTAGCTAATTTAATACATAATACATAAATATTTCCAAATTTTCGTATGTTCTTTAATAACTAATAACTATTCAGTATGAAATTAAATGCCTATTTATTATTTCTATTAAATATAACGTAGGGATTTTGCATGTGAATGTATTTATTGAAATTAGTTTTAACAAACTAACAGCGGTATTAACAATTCAGTTTGTGCAGCCATTACAGATATTCGAGAAGTTAAATTGAAAATATTTGAGAAAAAGAGTAATAACGTTGATTGATTTCGTCTTGAGAATTTTTCATAGGTTTGAATTGAAACTTTAGAAATGAATGCCAAAATGATTCATTTTGCTGTCTTAAAGTTATCTCTTCCTTTGTTGCATATTTATCTTATCATTCATAAAAAAAATTCTTCTCAATGATTCAGTTTCATTATTGTACAAGCAATTAAAAAGATTACCACTAGTTTTTCGTTTTATTTACAAGACAACCTTATCAAATTTAAATTAAACAATGATATTATGATCAAATCTTAACATTCCATTTTGAACCAATCATTATGAATAGAATGTCTTCAAAACATGCAAGCATATCAATCTGGAGTATCACTAAACATCCTTCATTTTTATACATTATTATGAAATTGACATTTTCAAATTGTAATGAATTACTACGTTTTTTGAAGTAATAAGCAAAAACTGCTCTCTGCTAGTACTTTTGTTGCTTAAATGAAAAATTCGCACATTTTAAAAAATATGCACTAACAATTCACTTATTCTCTACTTGTCCTACTGCATTCTCCTGCTTTACTATTTATGTGGCAAATGTCACCAGTTCTATTCTGGTTCGATGATCATTTTCATCTGTTTACTGTTGTTCTCCAAAATGTTTATACCAAATCTAACAAAAATTGC